TAATAATGCATAAAAATTTAGCATACGTCATCTTGTAATGAAACTGGAAACTATTTTTTCAAAAAATGATCATTCATATTTCAGATTATGGCAAAGAGATATTCTTCCTCGTGTATTATCAGTGCTGTTTATATCTCTGCGTAACATAAATCTCCAAAAATGTCGACTATCTCATGTTTCTCTTCTCTTCTCTCCTCTTCAACATCTTATTAGAAATAATATTTCAACGACAAATATCTCAAATGCTGGGCATTCACCGTTCGTTATATTATAGGAACCGTAAAATTCTAAACTTTACAAAGCTTTGAGTAATGGGTTATCAAATTTTCTCCATCGACTATTAACGCAACCTCACAAATATTTTATTTATAAAACGAAATAATATATTTTCCAATAATTGTTTATATTACAAAAGGAAAAAAAGAATGCCAATATTTTTAAACCGACTCGGTATACTTGACTTACACCAAGCGTAATACTAATTAACAAATATTTGCAATTTTTTGACATTACCAACTAACTGATATTATTTTATATAAAATCTATTTTATTCTACTAGTTATCTACAAATAGACTACACACTATATTTATTTTCTACTTAATTTACAAATCATGCTTTGAAGTAAAATTTCTCATTTTCATAAGAAATCAGGAGTTTGTAACGAGCGATTAAAACACTTGAGCAATCTTTCAATATATCAGACAAAATAATTAAATAATGAATTTTTATTAATCATAGCGTAAACGACCCGTAGTACCATTAATGTAAAAGCAGTGAATCATTTTAAGATTGTAATAAATTAATTGTCGTAAATTTTCACCCTTATAGTAATTTTCAATTAAAGTTAATTGCGTTGATTAATGTAATGTGGCTTTACATTACGTTGTAGCTCGGTAAATAATCTCAAGAGTCCATTTCCTTTGTATCATTTTAGTTTCGAAAACATGTAATTACGCGAACAGAGCGAAATATCGAAAGTTCGTAATTTTTGAACGACATAAAGCGATATCAGTGTCAGAAAATTAAAGGAAACTCGTTTCGGATGTGTGCGTGCCGCAGTCCATAAGGTCGCCGTGAAAATGTTGCTGCCGAGTGAGACCTCATTGATTAAGCGCGCGCATTGAGCGACGGTGAAGCTCAGCAACGTGGAAGCCTGAGGTTCAGCGATCGGTGTCAGCCTCCCTACCCTCATTACCCCCTCCCCCCTCCAATCGGTCGACCAACCAACCGTCCCCACCCCAAGCCACTCGTGCAGCGGCTGTCGCTAACAATCAATGCCGAGAATTCAACGGAAAGTCAAGCACTTGCTATGTACGCTCGTCCACTGTCCAGTTTTCGATTGTCGAATTACAGTAATGGAGTTGGGGTGCGAATACGAAAGGATCCTGACATAAACGGAGAAATAGGTTAGTCTCCGGCCGCATATGGGAATGCGGATTAGAGGGCGCGCGTGTGCTTGAAAATCAACGCCGTGCGCCGCTATTTCACCGATACTTTCCTCCACCCCTCCCTACCACCCGCACAATCGTCTTCTCCTAACGCCACCCTCTCCACCCTGTCCTGGCCAAAGCCGCCTACCCTCCTGCCGTACGTACGTGCCGTCGAAATTTAAAAGAGACGAAGAAATAAGAACTCCTGGCGCAAAGAGCTGTAGACGAAGAAAAAGCAAACTGCCGCAGATAGATTGAGAGTGAGAGAGAGAAAGAGAGAGAGAGAGAGAGAGAGCGAGTGAGAGAGTGTGAGAGAGTAAGTGTACTTGTGTGTAGCGAGCGGGCGAAGAAAAAAATAGAAGAGTGGGGAGCGAGCATAGTGTGAGGGAGAGTCGGCGGTGCAACGCCCACGCAGCTAGAGGGCGTGGCATCGACTCTCCTCTCGCTCCCACTTCTACGTTCTCGATCCCCCTTCTCTCCTCGCATACTCCGTCGTCCCTTGCAAATGACGCCACATTCAGTTGCTGTCTCGGTTTCGCATCTCCGAGAGACCTGACGAACGTACTTCCATCTCGAAAAGTGGCTCTTCTCTCGGCCACGTCTTCGGCCACCTCTCGCTTTCCCCTTTTTTTTCGCTTCTCTCATTTCGTCCTTCTCTCCCTTCTAGTCTTTGTCTCAGCATACGAGTATGAGTGTGCATGCGCCGGAGACAGACTCGAGCGCGACTTTCTCTCTTTCTTATACCCCACAGCTTCTGTTAACCAAGTTTTTATACTCGATAGTTTCTTTCCCTCTCACTCATCTGCCCGATCTCCCATTGTTCCGACGAGGATCGCATCAACTATCCTCCTCGTCTGGGGCTTCTTTTGTCTGAACGTCCAAGCACGGGAGAACCTTACGAGGATCTCTCGTATATACATTAACGTCGGCAGGCTGATCCACTTTCAGAATTTAGTCTTTTTCTGCGAGTGTGATATAAAAAGTGTTTTCAAGCTTAGCTGTATTTCTGCTCTCGTTCTCACTCTCTCTCTCTCTCTCTCTCTCTCTTTCGCTCCCCCCTCCCCCTCCGCCCTTTCTCTTTCTTTCTTTTGATTCTTTTTTTTCAACTCTTTGATGCAGCAGCTCTATCTAAAATAGATTCAAAACATTACGGACCTTTATCCTGAATCCTTCTTTCCCTTTAATTATTCCATTTCATTAAATTTTACCAATCTTTTTATATTATTTATTTTTCACGGATATGATCTTTGCTAATTATGCTTCAATAATTTTATTCCGTCTTTTTACATTATAATTATATCTTATTCAAACATTTATTATCCTATTGCATACTATTATTATTATAATCTATATTAAATATTAAAATCAGTAATATTTATAAAAAAAAAAACTCATGAATTTATTATATTTTGCTAAAAAAAAAAATCTTCGCTACCTTACAGGTCCAAACTCGAAACAGCTCGTACATTTTTCATAATAATATGAAAAAATACAGCGATGATATACGAAATTTATATTGACAATGAAGATTTTGACTGATATCTTAAATATACCATTTACTATCATATTATAAATTGTAATTAATTAATTGAATTATCACACGATTTGTTAAACTTAAAACATAATTATTATATCCAAAAATATAGAGATCAATGAAAAGTTTATTTTATCAAATTTGATGATAAATTATAATTCTTAAATAATAATTAACTATGTAAAATCAACAACAGCGATCTTTCTAATTATTATTCTACTTTAATTTATTAAAAATATCACGATTAATAAAAACTAATTATTATAATAAGATTATTTTACTTTATAAGGTCCGTGATGAGGAGTACAAAATTTTGTAACCTTGTAATGAATTTAATATTAAAAATATCTCTATATTTACTATTGTATTTTATTTTAAAGATTTTTCCATCAACAGGAAAATGGTTTCACTTTGATGAAAATCGGAAGTTTTCGTCATTAGAGTTTTCATTTTTATTCCGTATTAAATACGTCATTCTAAATTTTTATCGCAATTCCCGAGGTCTTAATAAGTGGAGCTACGAATAAAGCCAATAACATTTTCAGATCAAATTTAAAAATTTCTATTTTTTATAAACTCTCCTTACAACTAATAGCATGTATTATTAAATATTTAACAATGTTACATTGATTTATATACTGCCAGCGCTGTACATCTAAACACACTTGACTTTATATTGCACACCGACCATTATTTAGCTATGGTAGTCATAGGTTCGGTGCGATCCTAACGTGCGCGCATCAACACGCACACGCATATGTATATATTCATTTATTTGCAAATAAACGTATGAATGAATAGACAAAAGCATAATCGTTTAAACGTTTGCTACGGTTATCAAGTATTCGAACTATGCATTCGAATAAAATACTTGATCCATCATTTTTGACATGTATTTCTCCGATTGACTATTCGATTAATTATTGCCCCATCAATGCACAATCGCATCGTACAACAAGTTAGAAAAAGAGCGACGTATACTGAGTGAACCTGAACTCTGGAACGGAGTCACAGATGCTGCACATACGGATCATCTCCGTGTCCAATTAACTTAGCGTGTCAAGGAATATCATAATGAAGGGTAGAGATCATGTGGACATGCTCATCCCAAATGTCCCGGGGCCCAAGTATCGTTCTCAAAGAGGACAATCATAAAATATATGTAGCGCAGGAAAAGCGCGCGAGCGTAAAACAACGCAGAGCCACGGGCTAAGGGCCAGTGGTGGATGTAGTGCTGGTGTTGGTTGGGGTCGGGGCGGTGAAGGGAGAGCGACGAGGCGCCGGAAAAATTGGGTGAAGGCGACGCGTCCTCGGGCAGGAGGAGCGAGCCTCCAATGAGCCTTGGATGAGCCCCCCAACGGAGCCTCCACCTCCTTGGGACCGCGGCGCACGCACCGCACGCACATCGACCGGGGGCGCACGCATCCGAAGCGCCGGCGTGGGTGGGGCCAAGCCGGGGGCGCGGCTTCCTCGAGCCTCGAGGCGCGCGGAGTCTAGGGCAGCGGGTCGCGGGCCCCTACTGTACCGCCCGAGCGACAGCAGCACCGTCGCCTACCTCTCGGACGCCACCGCCGTCGCCGTCGCAGCCGCCGACTCTGTCGCCGCCGCCGCCGCCGCCGCCGCCTCGGCGCAACTCGGCCCAGAGCCGCTCAACAGCGGCGCCGCAGCAACCGCACGACCACCGGCGCTTCTGCCTCCGGGGCTTTCGCGCGCCGCCGTCAGATCGCCGACAGAGAGCCCCGCCTCGGCCCGGCTTCCAGCCACCGCGTGACCGATCAAAAGAAAAAGAGCGAAACCGCGAGAAAGAAAGAGAGAGAGATTAAAGAGAAAAAGAAAGAGCGAGAGACCCGGGGTGTGTTGACCGGTCCGCGGAAGCGGCGCCGCGTCTCCCAGTGTGCCGTCCGCGAGTGCGATACCGGGCGAAACAGATCTCGCGGAATCTCGAACGAGCTAACGATCGAACGAGCTAACGATCGAACGAGCGGACGAGAAAACGGGAAAGAGAGAGAAAGAAAGAGAGCGCGGTAGAGAGAGAGAGAGAGAGAGAGAGAGTGGGACTGTGATCGTGACCGCCAACGGCGCCACGACGTTGGCCTACTACAGCATGGAGCGCGGCGGGGTCGGGGGTAGCCTCGAGCTCGCCGGCGGCGACCTCTGCCTCCAGGACCTCGTCACCGGGGGGGCGAATGGAGCCCTCGCCTCCCAGCAGCAGCAGCAACAGCAGCAGCACGTAGCCGGGCTCCAACAGCACGCGGGTGAGCATCTGCATAGCGCGATGCAGCACGCGGGCCATCACCTCGAGCACATCCACGGGAACGGACATCACGAGCACCACGTGGCTGCGGCCGCGAGCGCCGCGGCGATGCTGCACACCGGCGCCCACCAGATACATCACGAGCCCCTTGAGAAGCTTAAAC